AAGTATTAATATTCTTTTTAATCACTGCCTATCTGATAGGCAAAAAAGTAGTATATTGTTTTAATTTGCATTTCTTTAATTATTTGTAAGTCCAAATAATTCCTTTTTTACGTAGAAAAACATTTCTGAAAGAGTGATTGTTTTTGAGAACAATTGCACCCACGAAAAATCAAATCAACATCAAAAGGAGAAATTGTAAGGGAACAGATGTTTTAGAGTAATTTAATTTAAGGAAATTGCCTATTTAATGACAATAATACCAAGCTAGCTTTAAAAAAATTTTGTCAAAATGCAACTGGTCTACCAAAAATCAAGAGCACAATATTTAAAATCTCTTCAGTTAGTTTCTCTTTTCAAAAAGACTGTAGGAAAAAAAAAAACTCAACAGTAGACTAGAGTTAGCCCAAGGGAACCACACAGCATCAGTGTTAGAATTTGTTAGCCAATTCTTTGTTGTGTGACCAAAGTACCTAATGAGAACAGCTTAGAGGAGGAGAAGAATGGTTTGGCTTATGGTTTCAGAGGTTCAGTCCATGGCTGGCCAACCCCATTACTCTGGGCCTGGGGTGAGGCAAAACATCATGGCGCAACATCAGGCAAAGGAAGATATGGCAGTCAGGAAGTAGGACGAATGAGATGGGAAGGGGAAACAAGGAAGATGAACCTTTCCAGAGTATGCCCCCCATGACCTACCTGCTCTAGCAAAGTCTGGAGCCTATAGTTACCTTTCAGTTCACTCAAATTGGAATGGACCAATTAGGTTGCTGCTTTCATAATTCAATCATTTCACCTCTGGCTATCCCTGCATTAACAAGTAGCTCTGGGCAGGGATACCTCATATCTGAGCCATAAATCTTGGCTCCTAGAACAAGTTTGTGCATACCTGGGCAGTTATATACAATAGCGTCATCAAGAAATGTGAAAAAAGATAAAGATTATCTTTAGAAAGATCTAAAGCTTATTCATCAAAATATTATTATTTAAGTTATACATCAGTTTCGAAAGTTGTCTTTAAATAGAACTTTTGCAAGTGGAAATCGCTTAAATACACCAGGAAAACTCATGAATCCTCTTACAGTTTCATCTGTAAATTTGGAATTTTGCATTCGAAATTTTCTCTAAGACCCACTTTCATAGTCATCTTGGCTCTTCCTCATGTTCTTCCTCCTCATTTAAGGTATACTGAGATGGGAAATGCTGTGGCCTAAGCATATTGATTTAACCCAGACTTCTTAATACCCAGTCACCCTACCACCACCACAACTCACTCCTCATCCTAATTTCCTTTTTAGCTTATCCGATCCAAGGATAATTCCAGGCAAATTTAATCAGTATGTTTTTGTTTATGTCTATATAATGTCTTGAAGGTTTTACAATTCCTCTTTTGATATCTAGGGTACTTAAGGAGTCTCTTGAATATGGTGGTTGGCTAAAATAAATAAAAAGTAAAGCCACGTGTTTGGGGGTGAGGCCCTGTGTTCCCCTAAGATGCACAACTGTGCCAAGGTTGAAAGGGGTCTCCTTTGATCCAAAACAATTAAATCAGACTGACTGTCCAGAAACTTCTTGAAAGAGGCTGCCCAACAAAACCGTTAAATAATCTTTGCTTTTTTTAGATTCAATTTCATAGTCTTTTTCTTCTCCGCCCTTCACTTTTCCCTTATCCCCAGCTTGGTGCACTCTGGTCACACCACTGTATATGCTGGGTTCCCCAGGTATGCCATGCAATGTCTCGAATCTGTGTATTTCCTCAGGCTGTTCTCTCTGTGCAGAAGAAGGTTGCCAGTTTGTGGGCTGGATAGAGTCCACAAACGTGTTTTGTTTGGACTTCACTGTGTTTTTCTTTTAAATTTGAGCCAACACCTAAAACTTCCATGAAATTCTGGATTTCTTCCTGCATTTAAAGAAAAATGGAGGGTCTGACAATATTGTCTCTGTGTTTTATTTAAGGCAGTATCAGCTGCAGTCATGCCCTTTCTAGAAGGACATGCATTGAACTGTGTCTTTGTTGAAAGAACCTGGCCCCTTTGGGGCTCTTACATTACCTGCTTGGCTTCTTGGTGTTGGGTTTGAGATTTCTGCTAGGAGTTGTACATGGCCAACAAAAGAGAGAAAACAGGATTTGCTCTGTCTGGAAAATTATCTAACTCTGGAGACAGAGCATACATATTTGACAAGTAAGACTATAAGCACTAAAAAACTATAAAAGCCATTGTGCTGCCAGAAACTTAGGAGGTGGGTGGGAGGAAAAAAATAAATACATAAAAATTCTGCATTATGAATTTAGAGGGGAATCAGAAAATAAGTAATGTTTATAAAGCACTTTCCCATGCTTTATATATGTTAACTTTAATTCACATAATGACTCCATGAGTCAGTAGTGTTGTTAGTCTCAATTTACAAATAATGGAACTGAGTCCCAGAAAAGTCAAGCTAGAGGATTTGTGGCTGGTGAAGTGGAAAAGCTGAGAAATGTTACTTGAAGACTGTATTGAGTAAGAGATGGTTAGACTTAGAGACAGGCCTGACCCAACCTGTGCTGCCTGTTAGCCTTGGGCAAACCCATTACACTCTGAGTTTTTAAAAA